CCTAATGGGACAGAATTTATGTCACCATTTTATTAAACATAAACTACATAAGAGCAGGCACAGGTGTACCTGTAAGCTATTGACATTCATAAATGAAATGTTAAGTGAACCATATTCAAAGAAATCAAGTACCCAGTGTAAGTTACGTTTAGAAAGCAGATGTCTACAGTACTGCCTACAGTTTCCATACTCAATAAATATAAGAATCCCAGCTGTAGTTTAGATCAAATTCCTTCACATGAGATTGAAACCTCTCCCTTTTTAAAATTTAATATTTGTTTATAGTGCTGGGGTTTGAACCCAGGGCCTTGCACATGCTAGGCAAGGTCTCCATCACTGACCTGCATATTCAGGGCACTACATCTTACAATTCTTATTTATTTTTGGTTTTCTTTGAGGCAGGATCTTGCTATATACCTCAGGCTGACCCTGAACTCTCTATCCTTCTGGTTTTGCCTCTTAAGTGCTAGTATTATAGGTGTGCACTACATCCAGGTAATCTCCCCCCTTTTTTAACCTGCCTTTTGTACACCTCTATTTACATGGTCCAGTGGTCCTTGAACTCAAGATACTCAAGTCTACCTTGAAAAGATTCACTGCTGAGTGAACGGCACCTGCATCTATCTATTGAACAGATTCTGAGGAGTCATTTTAGATTTCTTTCCTGCCTCCTCTCCTCATTCCCTTACAGGTGACTGGTAACTATTTTGTACTTGATCTTAGCCAAAAAGTGATGGCAATTTATTTTGATTCTTCCTGTTTGTACTAGCAGTTCTTACGCTAACTGCTTTTTCCAGCTCCATTAACTTTTTTTTTCTGAATTATTTGTACAGGCTGCTTCTATAATACTTTCTTCAGCAAAACTGGTTATTTTGCTTGCTAGTTTAAAGCTCTCCTGTGGTTTTCTACAGTGTTGGATGAAACCTAAACCATTTACACAACATGAACGTTTTTATGATCTGCATCTTACCCAGCTACTCATCTTTCTAACATGACTCTCCCCTGACTAGTCTAGTCCCATTTGCTTGAGTTGCACAGAAAGCAAAGCTCCTCCCAATCTTGAGTGTTTTCTCACAGACCTATTCACCAATCTTGAGTTACCTTCTCAGCATCCTGTTCTTTTCCTTCCACAAATCACAATTTCCTTCATTGAATTTCCTTCACCAGGAAAGCTCCATTAGTGTGGGGTTTTTTTTTTTTTATCTCTTTCTGTTCAGCACTGAAGACTCAGCATCTGACACATACATGGCATACCATGGAGACACACAACATATTTCTTCAATAAGCAAATCTAATATTTGCTATGGTTTCAGTGTGTTCTCCCAAAGTTCAAGTGTTGGAAACTTAATCCTCACATTCATGTGAATGTTACTTGGAGGTGGGGCCTTTGAGAGGCAACCAGGATTAGATGAAGTCATGAGGGTGGGACCTTATGATGACCTGAGTGGCTTTATAAGAGAAGAAACCAAGCTAGCACACTTGCTGAGTCTCACCACATGATCCCTTCCATCATATTATGATGCAAGAAGCCCTCACCTGTTGAAGTGGCTCAAGTGGTACAGCACCTGCCTAGCAACATGAGGTCCTAAGTTCAAACCCCAGTATGGCAGAAAAAGAGAAGTCATCTCCAGGAGCTGTTACCATGCTCTTGGACTTCTCAGCCTCCCAAACTATAAGCCAAATAAAGTAATCTTTTTAAAAAACATGTTTTTTTAATAAATATTATTTGTACAGGGGTATCATTGTGACATTACCATATATGCATACAACGATTCTGGAAGGTTTTAATGCTCCATGTTCATACACATGTAGAAAATACATCAACCATAGTCATCCTCCTTTACCCTCTTCACTTACTGTCCACATTCACTCAAGCCCCTCCCTTAACATGACCTGTTTTCACATTCCTGTCCTTCACTATTCACTGTGCAATGTGGTTTTGCCTTGGTATTTTATATATATTGAACTTTAATCAGTCTAACCACTTCTATTACTATTTATGAGTAAATAGTTTATCATGTATCTTTTAGCCAAGTGTGTTTGTGTGTTAGTTTTGATGGTGAGGTGGCAGGTATAAGAGCAAAAATTTAGGTGAAGAAGCAGAGGAAAGAAAAAAAGTGACAAAAATGAGAGAAAATTGATAAAGAGTTGTTGCAGAAAGTATGAAAGAAACAGAAGGGCCTTGTAGGAGGTTCAATGGTGGCCATACCAAAGATAAATCCACATCAAAGATATGCACCAAAGTTAAGGGAATATTAACCGTATTCCTTTCCTGTGCTGCTGTCACAAAGTACTGCAAAGTGGGTTGGTCAAAACAATACATTTATTTTCTTGCAGTTCAGGAGGTTGTAAATCCAAAATCAAGGTTTCAGCAGTAGTTTATTCCTTCTGGAAGTACTGAGAGAAAAATCTGATCCATGCATCTCCCCAGCTTCTGGTGGATGCCATCAGCCCCTGTTGTTCCTTAGCTTGTAGACACATCAGTCACATCTAAGCTTCTGTCTTCACATAGTGTTTTCTTGTGTGCCCTCTTGTATACCTTCACATTTTTTTTTTTTTTGGCGGTATCAGGGTTTGGACTCAGGGTTCCACGCTTGCTAGGCAGGCACTCTACCACTTGAGCCACTTGGACAGCTCTTTTTTTTTTTATTGGGTATATTCAGGCTGGCTTTGAGCCTTGATTCTCCTTCTTTGCCTTCCAAGTAGCTAGGATGACATGCCTGAGCCACCAGCATCCAACTTCATGCCACATTCTTAAAAGGACAGGTCATTGGATTTAGGACCAGCCTTCATCTAGTATGACCTCATCTTAATTAAACCCTGCAAAATTCTGATTTCAACTAACTTCAAATTCTGGTTTCAGGAGGACATGACTCATATAAGGGACACTATTCAACACAGCAGCCAACTACTTGGAAAAAGGATACACGCACACGTAATTAAGTTAAAGGTACGAGGGGCTGTTCTGTATTATTTGGGTAGGTTCTACATCCACCTACCCATCTTTATAAGACACACAGAAATTTAGGGGCAAAGTGAAGATAGATGCAAAGACTGGAATGATGTAGCCACTAGATGATATCTGGAGAATGTGATGAAAGACAAGGCAGAGACTGGAGCACTGTAGCCACAAGTCAAGGAAGCTGGGGAATGCAGACAGCCACCAGAAAGTGGGAGGCAAGTAAGGGTTCTCCTCTAGTGCCTGTAGAGGGTGTGTGGCCCTGAAGACACCTTGATTTTGGACTTCAGTTCTCTGAAACTGTGAGACCACACATTTGTTGTTTGAGGGCATCCACTTTTGGGTATTTGTTACAGTAGCCATAGCAAACTAATATAGGCCTGAAGAGAATACAATTCACTGTATTCATTTCCTTTAAGTACCACTAAAAATAAAACAATCTTTCTGAGTTAGATGCTGTTGTAAACAGATTCCTTAGTAAATAAGAATTTGTGAACAGGCAGAAGGTAAACCAGCTCAATTTCTGTAATTTTTTAAAAAAATGAAACAGTATCCCTTCAATGACTGAACTACAATTCTTTGATGTAGGAAGTTAGTATAAAAAATTGTGTGCAAACTATATTTCATATAATTCCACTTACCTTGTGACTACCTTATAATTAAAATCAGATTTGATGATAGTTCATGTGCTGGCTGGGTAAATTGTTTAATGTTATCTGTGTCTTCCTATTAAGTTCTTTTTATCTTGAGATTAACTTTTCTTCATGCTGCCTGATTTATGATTACATGACATGGGTGCTAGGCAACCTACAACCTTTAGCCATAACTGCCTAAAGCAGCTTTGTTTTTGGATAGCAAGTCATGTCATCAAGATAACGCTAAATTAAATGGAGAAAATTACATGAGTCTCTTTCAAGCTTTGGATGAAGTCAGAATTAAAATCTGGCATCGTCCAACTGTCCTTTCTGTCCAAACCATAAGTTCCACAGTTAACCATTCAAGTGGCAGATGCCTGGTGACTTCAGACTGTCGCACTGATTGTCCTTCTTGAACTTCTGCAGGGTGTAGGAATCCAATCATGAAAGTATCAGTGTCACTGGTCACAAAGACCCTAAAGCCCCCACCCTCAGACTGGGCCCTCACCCCTTCAGCTATGGAGCCCCTGTCCCTGTCCGCAGAGGTGTCGTACTGCTTTGGTGGGGACGAGCCTGGAGCACCTCTCCCCCTCCCCCCAGAACACGTCCCACTCTCGCCATCCTCCCGATCCCGGGGGCGGGGGTTGGCCGGGTAGGCGATACAGGTGCAGCGTCCACCGCCGGTGACCGACCCGGAGAGGCCCCGCCCGCCGTCTTGGGGAGGCAGTCAACTCGAGCGTCCTCCCGGTCATCAGTTTTCAACCTACCACCCGGGCTGACGCTCCCGGTTAGGGACGTTTTCCCGCGCGGACGGTCGGCGACTCCACCGGGAACGCGGACAGCGAGTGGTCTTCCCTCCCCCACCCGCGCAATGTCGACGCCGGCGTCCTGGAGACGTCGTAATGCTCCAACGAAGCGCGCCTCAAAAAAACCCTTCACTCCCGCTCGCACAGCTCCAACAGAAAATCCCCGTTCCACCGTCACACAGGACCTTCCCACGGGCCCATGGCAGTGCAGCAGGGAGGGTCTAGTGTTTGGGCGCGATAAGTGTGCGGGCGGCTAGGCCGAAAGGTTTGTCATAGGAAGACCCCCGAAGAAACGTGGTGGCTGGGGCGTCTCACGACGCTCCCCGGCTCCTGTCATTCCGAAGCTTTGGTAGGTGCGGAAGGCAGCAGGTTCCGTTAGTCCTTCCCGGTGATCATACGCCCTTTTCCGGTCGTTCGCGCGGGCTACTCTGGCGCGTCTCCGTTTCAGATCGTCTTCTCTTGGGAGCCCGCGGCCGGAGCGGTTATGCAGCGAGTGCGCGGCTATTAGGGGGTGCGTGGTAGTGATGGCGGCGCTCAGTGAGACTTTCCCGTCACTGGATACTACTACTCCCAGCCTTCCTCCGAGGCGCCGGAGCAGCCCTCAGGTCTTTAGTTTACTAGTGGCAATTTGACTTGCTCTGCTGCATGTCTGGAGGGATCGAGGAAAGTGTGGAGAAGCCCCGGGGGTTGAGGGAGCGCAGCTTGAAAAGAAGAAAAGGCAAACAAACAAACAAGACGCACCCACCCTAACAGACATGAGGCTGCTGGAGAGAATGAGGAAAGAATGGTTCATGGTTGGAATAGTGGTGGCCATCGTCGGGGCCAAGCTGGAGCCGTCCTTCGGCGTGAACGGGGGTAAGTGCCGCCTCTCGGGGGCTTGGAAGGGAGCGGGGACTTTTCTGGACACTGGCCAGCCCGGCGTGTCTCTTGGCCCTTTTGTTGGTTTTCTAATTTGCTAAACCTAAAGGGGACTTGTAATCAGGAAGGGAGCAGAGAAGTTGGGGCGCTCGTTGCCTTCCACGCCCACTACCAGGAGTCGTCCTTGGTGTCAGGGAGGGAGGGAGGGAGGGAGGGAGGGAGGGAGGGAGGGTCCAGGGTCCATTGAGTGAAACTTGGTCCTCTTGCCTGCCTAGTAGCGTCCGATCCCGAGGGACTCGGTTGCCAGGACTTCCCTGTCTGTCTAGGAGTGGACCTCATTATCAAGTCTATTTCAGACTCCTCCCACTCCACATGTTAAAAAAAGAAAAAAAAAAAAAAGTCTAGGGGAAAAAGAAAAAGGGACACCCGGTCCCCAACTTAGGTCTGTGGCCCGCATGTTGGGAGGAGGATTTACTGCCACTCCAGAAACTCCCAAGCGACTGACACGTCGCACTCTTTCATTGCAGGACGGTACTTCCGTGTGCTCTGGGATTCACTAGCCGTCTGTCCAACAGACGCAGGCAGTGTGAGACTATGTGTATCCTTGCCAAAATACACATTGGTTCTAGGGGGGCTAAAAACCCAATCTCTGAGAACTGCAGTCTCAGAATAGTGGCAGCTTTGTAATGTGGTCTGTGGACTCTGGTAGGATCACTGGAAATAGCATTTAGCTCTTTATGAGCCCCCTCCAGCCTCCAGACAACCTTGTCCTACTTTTCTCAGCTTTAATTGAGCTTCTTTTTCACTTACCTGTTTGATATTGTTTGTGAGTTTCCAGGCTTACTGAGAGATTTAATATCTAAGTTGTAAATGGGAGCAAATAAGGACGAAGGAACACAATCTTTTTTTTGGGGGGGTGGGTTGGGGAGCTCTACCACTTGGGCCTCACCCTTTTTTTTTTGGAAATAGGCTCTCCTAACTTTGCCAGGACTGGCCTTGAACTCATGATCATTCTTGCTTTCACCTCCCCACGCACAATCCTTTTATAGTAGGAAGTGCCCAGGATGATAATTGTTTTATGCCTTTTTTTTTGTTACAACATGATGGAAATGAATGAAATCTCTCAGGAGAGTGTGGCTCTTTTTCCCCTTGGTCCCCAACGCCTCCATTAAGCAGTAACTTCTGGAATCATTTAAAATGTGGACATGAAAGCTTTTTTTCTCCTGTATTCAACTTAGTGCAAAATGTGTATCATAGGTAACTGTGAGAGTAAACCTGCTATTCCTTGTGGTTTCTTCCTCTGAAGGTACCAATTTCTTTTTTTGACCCAGCCTTTCTGTGAGCTTTTGGGAAACTCTTGTGAAGATTGGCTTTCAGGTTCTGTCAAATGAGGATCCCCTGTCCCTGGAGCTGACTGAATACCTGGAGCTAACTGTGCCTTTGTGGTGATCTGCCATGCACCCTCCACTAGTTGCAGCTTCTGGTGTTGGGTCTCTATTTGCTCAGTTTTGAGATGCAATTTCAGGTGATGTGTGAGCTTTAAGTTTCAATCTGTAGGGGTTAGGATGGCAAAATATCTTTTACCTTATGTTCCCTGAATACTCCATGGGCGGGTAGGTTGCTGAATGGTGAATCATTTTCCCCTGACTTCCTCAAAGGGGCCCTGATGAGATAGATTCTGTAATCTTACTTGTTCTCTTGGAATCTGCTCATTGAAAGGTTGGCATATTATTATATTTTAGAAATATTGTTTCCCACTTTCACTAGTCCTGATGACATAAATATAAGATAGTTAATTTTTTGCATAATTATGAAAGAATAGAAGTAGAATGTTAAGAGCTGGAGGGAACATAACAAAGTATTTAAAACAGCATGCTGCTTTATCTGTTTATTTTTGTTTGGGTGCTGGGGATTGAACACAGGGCCTTGTCCATGCTAAGCACAAGCTCTGCCATTGAGCTACACCCCAAAACCCCAGCATGATTCTTATATGGTTGAAGTTACTAAGGCCTGAGGCCAGGTGACTCACCAGAGGTTAAGTTAGTTTAGGGAAGAGGAAAGATTAGAACCCAGTGCTCCCCCTTTTTTCATACCAATGAGAAAATTCATAATAATGGTCCTGGCAAAAATCATTAAAAATAGACATTATAAAGAAAGGAATAAAGTCATTCTCCATATTCTAATTTTAGCCTAAAGAGGCAGGGCACAATCAGCTGATATTAAAAAATGACATATTCATGTGATTTCTTTCATAGCTGTCTATGTGTAAAAGTTAATTTTCCTAAAAACAAAGTTAAATAATTGGGATACCCTATGCAGGATGTCAGGCATATGACAGAAGTATGAAAAACTTCTGTGGAGCTTTTAATTCATTGTCCCAGCCGTAAAACCTCTTAGATAAAAATAAACCTCCAAACAGTACCAAGTAATACTTTGAAACACCTAAACACCTCCCCCCCCACAACAGGACAACACAATCAAGGAACAAGGAGAAAAATGGCTGCTGAAAATGTTTCTGTCATGTCCTGCTTTTAGATGGTCTCAGGCACCTCTTCTGTATTGTATCTTTTAGTGATTAACTGGACGATTTATAGCCGAACACTTTCCTAGACATTCTTTTAAATAGGAAAATGTTCATAGTTTTCAATTTGTTGTTAAGATGCTCACTTCAACTTTACCTGGATTAATATTGTAATAACTATACTCAAGTTTTATTTTTTTCCTGGTGCTGGGTATTGAACCCAGAGCTTCAAGCGCTTTTACCATGTGCTCTATCCCTAAACCACACCCTCCAGCCCCAACAAGCTTATTTTTAAGTGTACGACTTCTACACTTAGACATTTATATATAGTCAGATTTCCCTTAAAAAAATCTTTGCAGTCAGTTGGTGAGTTATTATGGCAGAAAATTGATAGATGTAGAAATTATAAAATTGAAGGAGTTGGATAGCTTTCACCAAAATGGAAAGAAGTATGATACTTAATTTTTAGTTCACTGTTCTTTTCACTCAGTTATATTTCCTTTAAAAATATGTAGAAGGTTGAAAATAAAGAGCTATCATAGATGTAAATATGCAGATTCTGAAGTGTTGCTAATCTGTTCTAATGTGACCCAGGCAAACCTTGAGATATTAGGTACATTAGAGTTTTGGGAAGTTCAACATGGTGGTATTCCTTCTTGGGAACAGAAAAGTTTGCTACTTTGGAAGTAAAGAGGAAGTTTGTTATGTCTACCTGTGTCTTGAATTATTGCTGTTGGTAAGCCACTAATCCTAAAAAGGAAACTTGTTTTTCCATTAGAAAAACACAACTAGAAACATGCTATAAGCTTAAGTGTATTCCCACGAATACCTTTAGGCTATTTGAGATCATCTTTGAAAATGAAATTTACTTTGGTAATGAGTGCCTTTTGCGAAATGGTAACAGTTCCTTGCATTCTTACATATTACAAAACACTTTCTCTTTTTTTCCCACTCAAAAGCATAGGCTTTAGAGAACTGGAGGTGTGGCTCAAGTGGTAGATTGCTTGCCTAACAAGTGTGAGGAGTTCAAACCATAGTACCGCCAAAAAAAAAAAAAAAAGAAAAGAAATAAAGAAAAATATTAGCAATAAAAAGCATGTGTTTTAGGGTTAGTTTGGTGGTTCATATCTGCAATCCCAGCCTTGGGAGGCAGAAGCAGGAGGACTGTGAGCTCAAGGCCAGCCTGGGTTACATAGGGAGACTTTTTCAGAAAAGCATGGGTTTTAGAACCCAAAAGTTGTTTCCTTTTTTCATTTTTCTCTTTTGATTGTGTTATCCCATTCTGTTTTTGTTGATAAATATTTTTGAATTTTGTTTAAAGGATAAGTAAAAACATATTGTCAATTTGAGCTTTGTAACTATCTTAAGATCCAAATTTGGTAATTTTGTTGACCTTGAGGATATAATTATTAGCTTGAGAAAGGGCTAACTATAATTTTTATATCTTAGATTCAACTCTCTCCTCTGTGTAAATATTTGCCAAGTTTTTATTTCTGCTCTGGGTGACTTCTAGTTCCACCTTCACCACTGGGGCCATCTGTTGCCTTTCAGCTGAGTGTGTCTCAGAGGGGTCTTGGGTTTCTTTAAATCAAAATTAATTCCTCTTCCCCCTTACAGGTATGTTGTCCATAGCGCTGGAGTGTCCTAACCATGGCCTTTCATGGATTAGAATTATTTAAACATTAAAAGTCTGGGATTTTTCCGCTGAATTATGCCAGTTGCCAATTAGTTAATAGTTCTGTGTTTTAGTATGTGTGTGTGGACTGTAGGAAGAATTAGCTTTTTTCCCCCTCTTTATTGTTGGGCTGGGTGGGGGTACATTGTGGTATTTACAAAGGTTCTTAAAGTGTATCATATATATCATACTTGGATTTATCCCCTCCATGGCTCTGTATTACCACCCCCATTGCTGATGGTTTCAACAGGTATCACTTTTGCATTTGCATACATGTATAAACATTTTTTGCACCTTATTCATCCTCCTACTCCCTTTCCCCGTCACCTCCCCCCCCCACCCGCACACTGGAACCCTTCCCCACTCTCCATAGGACCTGTTCTGCCCTCCTGGTCTCCGATTTTGTGGAAGAAAAAAGAGAAAAGAAAAAAGTGGCATTTTTCTTGTTTGAGGTAAAGGTAGCTGGAGTTTCCTTGTGATATTTCCATTTATATATGTATTATAACCCCAGTTGGTTTATCTCCTCTAATTTTTTTCATTCTGACTTAGTCCCTTTCTTATGGTGGTTTCAGCCTGTTTAAGATTTCTATATTCATTCTTGTATAGAGAGTACATCAACCATATTCAACTTCTTAGTTTCCTTCTTTTACCCCACTCCTCCCATAAGTGACCTCCCCTTAGTGTGACCAGTGTTTCATAATATTGCTGTATTTGTATTAGGTCTATTCCACATATGAGAAAGAACATACACGTTTTGACCTTCTGAGCCTGGCTAAGTTCACTTAAGATGATGTTTTCCAGTTCCACCCATTTACCTGAGACTGACAAAATTTCATTTTTCTTTGTGGCTGATTAAAATTCCATTGTATATAAATACCACATTTTCTTGATCTATTCATCAGTAGTGGGGCGTCTTGGCTGCTTTCATAGCTTGGCTATTGTGAATAGTGCTGCAGTAAACATGGGTGTCCAGGTGTCTTTGTAATAACCTGAGTCGCATTCCTTTGGGTGTATCCCTAGGAGTGGGATTGCCGGGTCATATGGCAGTTTTTGAGGCGCCTCTGTACTGTTTTCCACAGTAGTTGTCATAATGTACATTCCCACCAGCAGTGTATGACTTTTTCCTTTTTCCCTGCATCCTCCCCAACAGTTGATGGTGGTGGTGTTTTTGAGGATAGCTATTCTAACAGGAGTGAAGTGGAATCTTAATGTGGTTTTGATTTGCATTTCCCTCATGGCCAGGGATGTGAGCATTTTTCACGTGTTTTATAATGGAAAGTTATTTTGGCTAGGCCAGTAGTAGAATGCTTGTGTGCAAAGCCCTGGATTAGATTCCCAGCACTGCCAAAACAACAACAAAATGTAGCCTTAGCCTACTAAGGTGGGTACTTAGCTACCCCAAAGGAACATGCAAACTGAGTAAATACCACATGCTGGCTGTGGAGATGTGTCTTTGGGCTTGTCTCCTAGCTCTCATTTGCATCTGTATTGTGAACTCTGACCCTTCCTATACAGAACTTCTGGAGGCACCACTGTGGCTAGAACCACAACGAACAATCAAGTAAGGTCTCATAAAAAGCAGAGGGCTGGGCAAGGGCGACTCACACTTGTAATTCTAGTTACTTGGGAGGCTGAGATCGGGAGGAGCTCCATTCAAGGCCAGCCAGGCTAATAGTTCTTGAGACTCCATCTACAAAATAACCAGGGCAGAATGGACTGGAGGTGTAGCTCAAGTGGCAGACTGCTGCTTTGAAAGTGCAAAGTCCTGTGTTCAAACCCTCATCCCACCAAAAAAAAAAAAAAAAAAAAAACAACAACTAACCAGCAAATCAAAATAAAATGTTTCAAAAAGCAAGGTAGGAGTCATCACTTCCAAAACAAGTCATGTTCCTTCATTTTGAAATTTGCTCCTCCATTATCCTCCTTAGCTGTCTGGGGCTCAAGTGGTAGAGCACCTGCTTAGCAAACATGAGGGCCTGAGTTCAAACCTCCCTGCAAAAAAAAAAATTTAAAAAGAACTATTATGTCTGTGAACTGCTGAGACAGTTTCACTTACAATTACAAAAACTGTACCTCTTTTAAAAAGTTTATGAACAGCCTTTACTGCCCTGAAGTGTGACACCTTTCATGCTTGCCTTGTCCCTTTTGCTCCCTTCTCTCAGTTTTCAGTAAAATTATTTCTGTTAATGTCGAGTATATAAAATAACTTATTGCAATGTCTGAGATCATCTTTGTTTCTTTTAATCAATGTGGTACCAAAATGCCTATGACACAGTAGGTGTTTAATATTTGTTGAATGAATGAATGGTGATTTTTTTTTTTCTCAGCTTGGTCTTCTGTCCATTTATTGAGTAGTGTTTTGGAGGATGGAGGAGCTGTGATTATAGCCTTGTTGTTTTGCTTTGAAGCAACAAATCAAGCAAAAAGTAATGTAAGCAATAAATTACCACAAACCAGGTGGATTAGAACAGCAGGAATTTATTCTTTTGAAGTTCAGGAGATCAGAAGTCCAGAGTCAAAGTGTTGTTCTCCAAAGGCTCTGGGGAAGTAGCTTCTTTGGCTTCTTCTAGTTTGGGGCAGTTGCAGCTATCCTTGGCATTCCTTGGCTTGTGATATTATAGCTCCTTCTGTCTTCTCATGACTGTCTTCACTGTGTATTTATGTCTGCATACAAATTTCTATCTTATAAGAATAAGAGTCATTGGGACTTAAGGCATAGCTCAGTGGTAGAGCACTTGCCAAGCATGTATAATGGCCTGAGTTTGATCCCCAAATACTGTAAAATCATCACCACCAGCAAACACACAAGTCATTGGATTAGCAAATACCCTAATCCAATAAGACCTTATTTTAACTTGATTATATTTTCAGTGATCCTGTTTCCAAATAAGGTCACATTCACAGGTTCTGGGTGGGCATGCATTTCAGGGAGACACTACTCAAGCCAGTATAAGAAGACTGAATGGAATTTCAAGTATGAGATGGTCTCATATTGAAAATGTTGGTATATATTAGGTTTTTTCAGCCTAGGCTCTTCTGACATTTTGGACATGAGAACTCGTTGTTGAAGAGGCTGTTTTATGCCTCCCAGGATGTTTTACAGAAGTCCTGATCTCCACCCAGAGATGCCAGTGGCATATTCTGCCCACCAAGTTTGTTAGCATATTAGGTCTTCAAGCTATGTACAAGTCACAAATGATGATTTAAGTATCAGTGTTTTCTGTTGTCCTCATAGCATTAATACAAGTACAGGATGCCAGCCTAACTCCAGAGAGGATTTTCTGGAGGGCAAGGGCCAGGTCTGTCTGGTTTACCACAGTGTCTTCAGGGCCAAGCACAACTTAATAATTATAATCATAGCAATATATTAGTATTCTGTACAATGTCTTATTCACATAGTAAGTGCTTAGTACATATAGATAAAATCAATATTCTTGGGCAGAACTGAATGCATACATGAATACAATAAGAAGTAAAGCACTATTTGCTAAATTAGAGAAGGGCACTTCTCCATTTGCTTCTTGACTTTGAGTTTAGGGGTATTTTGACTGTTCACCCAGCCATACTGTGGTAGATATGCTTAGAATCTAAACTGAAGACTGCTGTTTACTTGTTTTCCTGTGAGTTCTTGCTCTTCTGATCTGAAGATAATGGGATGAATCAGACAGCCATAGTGCTGGCCCTCAAAATCTGTCTGGAGTAAGGCAGCCATAATGTGTCTGGACAGTAGGTCACAACACTAATTGTTAATGTGTCATTGCTCTCCTCCATTAGAATCTTTCTTACCAAGTTATTCATTGCAAATTCTAATCTAATGATAACTCATTTCTCTCTTTTTAGGGCCACTGAAGCCAGAAATAACTGTGTCCTACATTGCTGTTGCAACAATATTCTTTAACAGTGGACTATCATTAAAAACAGAGGTACTGTCATTAGTGTGGCACACGAAAAAGCAGAGAATTTAATTTGTACTTAGTGTTTTGACATTTCAGGTTCCTTTTGTAAAGTCATTTGTAGCTATAGTATTACGGCTTCACTATGACAGGAGATAACTTGGACTTCAGCAAAGGACTTGGCGTTTTGTTTCTACATACAGAAACTTAATAGTTCAATAGCATGGTCCCTAAGGATGGGGTTAGAATGAGTATGTCCTTTTTTTTCTTTTTTTTCATGAGTAGTCCGTTTTAATGAAGAAAGTGGTATAATTAATATCCTAAAGAAGAGATATAATCAAGGAAATAGAAAGTAAGACTATAATAAGATAATATATCTCACCTCCTAACTTGGAAAAGTTAAGATAATCTGGTAATCCAGGAATTAAAAAACTATTTTTCTTTTTAAAATTGAATTTATTTTAACCGATACATAAAAACATAAAAATTGTAAGAACGCATATGTTTTAAATATGGTAATTGAACTAAAACGTCTGCTTTATATCTTCCTCAAATTGTGGTGAAAATGACAGTGATGCCTGTACTTGGCACTTTGAGGTTTAGTTTGGTTTGTATAATTTTTGCAAATTAATATTTTTCCCAGGACTCATATTGATCAACTAATGTTTGTGATGTCAACTTTAACTTAAATTTTATTTTAAGAGAGTGTATTCTTCCCTAGTATATTGGTAGTTATTTTGAGAGAAATATTGGCATTTTTCATACCAAGTCGTGAGCTATCATGCATATGGATGATGTTATTTGCTGACCCTGATCTCTCTGAACATGGGATCCTCTTAGAAGTAAAGAAATCCAGACATTTTTATGTTTTAAAGGGTAATGAGTAGGATTTATTATTCTCTTTTGACTTATAATGGAAGAATAAAAAGATGAGAAAATACTTATTTGTTTTTGAAGAAATGACAATAAGTTATTTTAACATGCTCAAAGACCACCCTATTAACAACATGGAAAAATATGATTTTACTATATTTGTACATTCTGTAACAGGTTAATATAAATCTTTTCATGGAGTATTTTTGATATACATACAATCGGTGTGTAGTGTTTACAACTGATAAGTTGTAGCTCAACACATCTAAATATTCTGATTAATTGCTGTTCTGAAAATAACTGACACAGGAGGGGGTTTCCTAAATACGGCAATTCCAGTTTTGTAAATATTGTTGATATGAAGGAGCCGTTATTACAGGAAACAGCTGAATTCTAGTATTGATTCTCAAATGTGGGTCACAGTGATACAGAAGGATATTTGCCACACTGTGGTGCTGGACTGATCTGACTTGAAGGTTTTCCAGCTGGCCTTGCCAATGCTCTTTGTGGAGCGCCTAACCCAAGTCTTCTATTTGGAACATTGCTCTAACTATGTCCCCTGGTGGCTGCCTAATGCTACAGCTGTTACTTATGCCATGGGAAACCTGGCCAGACTTGATGTCTCTTTCTACTTAGCTTCTTACTTAATGCTATTCTGTAAAACAGTCAACTTTGCAAGAGTTGAAGAAGGAAGAATGTCACCGCTATAAACATTTCTCTAAGGGCCAACTTCAGCAAGCACCTAGGAAACCTTTAGAGTCATCCAGCTAATTTGGATCTAATGATGAGAGTCCTTGATCCTGTGATTTACTGAGGTGTGGTGTCTAAGTAGCATCAAAGCCATTTCCTCCATCAAAGACCCTTTTCAAAGCAGAACAACATTAAGTCATTGTCGACAGCCATTTAACTTAAAATGTGCTAGACTGCATCTCTGCATCACTGTATAATACTAGACAATTCCTAAGCCCTGCTGCTTTCCAGGACAACCAGTTATGGACTAGGAGGAAGTAGTTTTGTTATTTATGTCCTAGTTACTAATCCTAAATTTCAACTGGGACTACAATTTGTGTATCTTATTAGGTCCTACAGTTTTACACAAGAAGCACTCAGTACGTTATTATTCACTTGAATTTATTTGGAAGCATTTGTGTTGGTCTCACTCAAGTGTGATTTATTTTGAACATTTTTCATGTCGTAATCATACATTGATGTAATGATACGTATTCTAAAACTTACCTTGCTAATTTATAAAATTATATACTATGCTAATGCAATGCTACATCTTCACTTTTATGGCTATTGATCTCTAGTTTTTGAAATACCTGTTGAAAAGGTTTCTGAAATTTTGCAATATTGAAGAAAGGCCACATTTTAAATTTATTTTTTATTTAGCTAACTTCAAGTCTACAGTTTCAAAGGATTTGTCATAACAAACTGTGGCAGGGCCAGTTCATTTAAATAAATACATAGTAAGTGTCTGTTGCTGCAAGGTCCTGGGCATGGTGCTGGGGATAGAAGCGAAAATGACCAGGGGCTCAGGACCTGAAAAAGGGTTCCCGGTAGGGCAGAATAGGCAGGTTTTTCATTGTTTTCTTAAAGCGATTAGGATTTTTAAATCCCGCTAGCTGAAAAGTAAATATAGCAAATTCTAAACTTTAGGCTCATTCTGCCTGTTTCAAGCCCAGAGCTATGAGGCTGACTCTCAGAAAAGGAATCAGATAAAGGTCAAATAAGGGCTGGAAGGGAAATTGGTATGTAGTGAAAATATTTCTACAACCCAGTCAGAGTCCTAATTTTAAGCAGTTCTTGATGCTGTCAGTGAGATCAGCATAATCAGTACACTATGTGGAATATCCTAAGTTTATTTTAATGGAATTTGACTTGTATTACATATGAATAAACAGAATGTCATCAGAGTCAACTTTTCAATAATTCATGATGGAGTATTTAAATTTATGGCCCTACGTTGTACATGGGAATGTATTGAATACTATTTTGGATTATTATAGGGTTTACTTGCTTTCCCCCTTCAACCTCCAGTGTCACCTTCTATCTTTGTGGTTGTTAAGAGACATGGAAAGCACACAGCACTGGTTTTTGGTCACAGTCTTAAAAATCTTTATTAGAAACCATGTCTAGTACTTCCCTGTTAAGAGACCCCGGTGCCCAAGATGACTGGCCATTGTGACTCATTGGCTGGGTTCTTTACTGTATCAGTATTCTGGTGTATGTGTCCTCAGTTGTTTCTAATTGTTATTTGTTAGGTCAGCTAGTATTTTCTTACTAAATTTTATTAACTTTTTTTCTGATTTTAACTCATTAGAGAAAGATCAGAAAGGGTAAAAATGACTGCTATTAACATTCATAAGATTTTTTTTTTAGTCCTTTTTTTCCTTAAATGTGTTTTACGTATAGAACATTTTGTAAAGTATTTCAAAAAAATCAAATCGTGTATACATGCATATACATTTGCAGACATGTACACATACACATAACCTGATCCTCCTTTTTTCCCATGTAACATTGTATAATAATTTTTCATGTAATTTAATTTGAGATACTTCTCCCAGCCTCCCAAGTGCTGGGATTATAGGTATGTGACATCATGCCCAGCCCATTTTTTTTGTTTGATGACCATATGATTTATTAATATAGTTCAGAAGTCTTCCTTTCACCTTTCTGCCACATAACTGTTTCTTCTCTTTGCAGACAATCAATTGTAAGTTTCTATGTGTCATTCCAGAGTTTTTTTTTTTTAATCCAAAGCATGTACATGTGTTTCTCACCCACTACAAATTGTACTATTTTATATTGTTTGGAACCCTTACCTTATTTACTTAAAAATATAATGTAGGCTGTTTCATATCAATTCATAAAGAATCCCTTTTCTTTTTATTTGCCAATGAGTGTGCTACTTTATGGATGCATATAAAGTATGCATATCATAAATATGATATATTTATCATATCAAATATGATATTTTTATCATATATAAAATATATATGATATATTTTATTCATTCTGTATTAATGGACTTTTAGCTAATTTTCAAGGTTTTGCTATTACAAACAAGTTGCAAATGGTAACTTAAAAATATGTTATTTCCCACACAGGGGCACATATGTGAAGGGTAAATTGCTTGAAGTGGAATTGCTAGGTCAAATGACACATGCAGTTTAAATTATAGACATTCCATGTACCTAGGACATGGTACCAAGTCTTCAGTATTGCTTTATTTATTTTGTGGTGCTGAGGATTGAACCCAAGGCCTTATGTATGCTAGGCAAGTGCTCTACTGCTGAGCCATCCCCCTGTCCCCATTCAGTAAGTATTTCTTAAATGAAGAAGTGAGTTGCCAGATAGTTCTCCATAGGTTGTGCCAGTTTCCTTTCCTGTTAGCAGAGTATGGGTAGATATGCTCATTAAAATGTGGTAAGTACTGCTAAGATATTTTTAAAAGGTTCATTTTTTATGTAGGTAAACATATATGTTTATTTATAGTGCAATAATCTTCAAATCTATACTACTGTAAAGATAGTAAGTTTATCTTACCTGGTCCAGAATTTTACAAACGTGAATTATTAGGGCATACTACATATTTCAGAAATTTTATATAAAATACTTCATAATCATCATATGGTACCTTTTTTCTCTTAAAGTCTATCTGTTATGCATAAGCTTATTAGTCAAGGATTTTTAACTATGAAATAACTCAAAAGCAAAAAAGAGCTCGTATGACATTTTTTGTTATGTCAGGAGAAATCTCATTTCAGAAATAGTTTTCTCACCTTTATTTTGTGTCCTTCATTTTCCCAGGAGCTGACCAGTGCTTTGGTGCATCTAAAACTGCACCTTTTTATTCAGATCTTTACACTTGCATTCTTCCCAGCAACGATATGGCTCTTTCTTCAGCTATTATCAATCACGTCCATCAATGAGTGGCTTTTAAAAGGGTATGTTTAAACCTTTTTTTAAACTATTTTTTAATTAGCATTCATTAATAGTTCAAGAGGGGTTTCATCGTGACAATGCCGTAGATACATACAGTGTTCTTTGAACAAGTTCCTCCCTTCTATTATGTTTAAATCTTTTGAAGGGTGTATTTTAATGGGACATAGCTAGTAATGTCATTGTTTCTATGGCAACTGTATACAGGCCTATGTAAACTATCTTAAAAGGAAATAAAACATTTAAGTTTATTCTTTAAAACAACAGAGTTTCATTAAAGGATTGTTTAACAGAATTTTAAAATACACCCCCTTACTTAAGATTCTGGGATGGACACTTTAATGGGAATTTAAAGAGTAGTCTTGGAGGAAAATTAGAAGGGACTGGAGGATTTAAGATCTGTGTGCATATGAATGTAGGTTGTCAAGGATTACTTTAACTTTGCCAAAAGGTATCTTACCAAATGTATACAGGAAATGACTGAGCATAATATGTATTTTAATAGCGTATAAAATTATATATGTGGGACCGATTTTTGCTTTTTCTCTTGTTTGTTTTATATTTGAAATAATAGTTGAATTAATAGTAGATTTTATTAGAATCTTTTCCTTTATTACAAATGTTACCATGTGCTAGGCATGGTGTTTCATGTCTATGTGGGAAGATGAAGAGTTCAAGACCAACTCTGACAAAGCTAATGGGACCCTACCTTAATATAATTTGAACAGAAGGACTGGAGGTGTAGCTCAGGTGGTAGAACACTTGCCTAGCAAGCCTGGGATCTTGGGTTTACGCTCTAGTAACACACCACACACACACACACACACCACACACACACACACACACACACACACGGCGTTATTTAATGAAAAGAATTTAACAATTTAAAAATTCTGGAGGTGTAGCTCAGGTGGTAGAACACTTGCCTAGCAAGCCTGGGATCTTGGGTTTACGCTCTAGTAACACACACACCACACACACACCACACACACACACACACACCACACACACACGGTCATATTTAATGAAAAGAATTTAACAATTTAAAAATTGAATTGCATTGGTTCAAAACTAACCACAATTCACCATGATGGCATAATAGGTAAAACACTGAATTTAGAGCCCAAAGACTGAATGCTGACCCTATCCTTTACATGCTATATGACTTTCAGCCAAGTTAGTTAATAGTTTTGAACCTCAGTTCTCCGTCTGTGAAATGAGAATAATTGTACTTTTGACTACATACTTCATGATATTGGAGACATCAATTTATTCCACCCACAGCATCATTTATTTATTCAAGTCACCTATTGAGCCTGACAATGTGCCAGAAATTACTGCAGGTTTTGGAGAAACAACAGTGAGGGAATGGCGTTGCGCCAGTTTACTTTGCAGGTTGGGTGACTCGGTGCGATTATCAAGAAACAAGTAAATAGGTGAGCAAGATGAGGATAAATGATGTGTAAAAAGTAATCATAAAAGTGATTGAGTGGGCAGGTTGGTAATTAAACTGAAGAGCTCTGAGGAAGAATGTTCGAGGCAAAGGAAACAATGTCCGAAGGCTCTAAGGCAGAAACAAGCCCAACATGTTACACGGTCAGTAAAGCAACCATCCTGGTGGTGTGGAGGAAAGATGTTTTGGAGGTGGACTGGTGGGTAGGAGCCAGTTACACAGAGCCTTGTCAGCCGGGGTGAAGCTTTCAGATTTTATTCTGAGTGCCATAGGAAGCTGCTGGAGGGACTAGAATAAAATGGAGTGTGGATGGAAAGCTGAGGAGAGTGATGGATTAGGCAGGAAGTCAGTTCTCAGGACTCCTGGGTGGAAAGCTTGTAGAGTGAGGATAGGCAGGAAGTCACCAGGAGTGACTTCTAAATTTTAGGTATGAGCTATAAGGTAAATGCCATTATCATTTACGTAATTGAGAAGAAACAGTTTAGGAGTAAAGGGAGAGATCCAGTTCCATTTTGGCCAGATTGAGTCTGAGAGAATCAGCATAAAATTTCACCAAAAAGTGTGCAATGCACATAAATAAGATGATATCACTTTAGAGCAACAATGTAACTGTGTGTGTCACATGAACCATAATTACTGAGTATCTGCTATGTGTAGGGCACTTAAAAAGTAGGGCTATGCTAACTCAGTTTCCTGTGGAGAAGGGACTCCTAACCTAGTTGGATACATAGGATATGATATATAATATAGCTAGTAGGAGACAACCTAAATGGGGTGACATGCAGTTTGTCAAATGAGTGGTGTGCTGAATTAAAGGATAAATGGTTAACAAGGGTTGTGTTTGTCCAACGTAGATAGCTAAAGTATGAGGCATTCATCGGAGACAAAGATTAAAAGTTCCTTTTGGGTCAACTCAGTGAAGGCCTGGGCTGCTGGGCTGAGGAGTTTGGGCTTAAAGCTACAGATGAGGGAGAACCCTTTAAAACAGAGAAAATATGTGCTAAAAGCGGTCATTAAGACCTGGCGTGGTGTGTATACCTGTAACCCCAGCACTCCAGAGGCTGAGAATTTCCAGTTATAGGCCAACCTGGGCTACATAGTGAGACCCTGTCTCAAAACAAACAAACCGACCAAACAAACACAAAAGCCTAACATAAACACACAAACAAATTGGTCCTGAAGGAAGTTCAAGATGATAGCACTGTTCTATTGTATCATGAGAAGGGTCACACTTGCAATGTCTGTGTGCTAAATATAGTAAGCATACGGTTCGTACCTTGGAATATTAAAATTGAAAGTGTATACACTTGGCTTACCTCTTTTAAAGAAAGCTCTTCTCAGCTTACTTTGTTCCCCCTTCCCCTTACCAATTTCCGAGTACACACTAGAATGTTCACTTGAGGGAGCTGCAAACTCCTACCTCAGGGTCATATTGAGATAATGGCATTATGAGCACATGCCAGAGCTTGTGAGTTGCGATGAAAAAGGTATGATATATCTTTAGAAAGTAGCAGTATTAATTTTCTGTTAGTTATCTGCATTTGTGTATTGAATCTCTTTGAAGGCAGGCCTATTGGCTTTTGCTGTTTTTTTTTTTTTTCTTGATACTCTTATGTAGGAAACATGTATTAATATGTACCTTAAGGTTTTATATCTACAGGTAGGGAGAATTCCTCTTCTTTATACCTGAAAGGGCATGGAGGAGAATAGGGAAAGACTCCACCTGTGCCTTCTACTGGTGGTAGGGAAACACAAGATAGAGAGGCTAGAGGAGGCCCAGGTGAGTAAGTCCTTGATCTTGGATGCTGGAAAAAAAGTTTATGGGCAAGTTACTTACCTTCTCTTTTAACTTTGGTTTTCATTAAAATGAGAATAATAGTAGTATTTATTTTAAAATCCTTGTGAGGAATAAGTGAGGGGGATAATGTGTACAAAGTGTCTAGACAAGTCTCTGCTACAAATGGTAAACACAATTAGTGATGATGCTGGTGGTAGACCTAAAGGAAGGCTCATAGATTGGGAATTTATAACAGGACAGACTGCTTTAGCCTCACTTAGGAAAACAGACCTTTAGAAAAGACCAAGCTGGGCATGGTGGCACTTCTGCTGCCCGGCTGCTCAGGAGGCTCAGGCAGGAGGATCATTTGAGCCCAGGAGTTTGAAGGTCAGCCTGTGTGACATAGTGAGACCCTATCTCTAAAAGTAAAATAATAATAATAATAATAAATGTATTGAATTGAATGAACTGGAAATTTCATAAACTGTTTTGTTTTAATCTAAATGAATTAAGATGTTATTTTTTTCTTATTTGAAAGCTGACATAAATTTATTGCATAAAGCTTAGAGAATAGTCTTAGAAGATTCAGTAAAAAAAAGAAATCTGTGACAATATCCATTCAAATCTCAGTCAGATGCTCTGTGTCCTCCATGCCCTGTGTGAACTTTTCACTTAGGCCAGCTGCTCGGGTTCCCCAGAAGGTATATTCTACATGAATTCTGGATAATTCAAAACATTTTTTAGTATTTAGATTTATTGCACAGTTGCTTAGTATGCAATTTATTTTCTATCCTCAACGAAGAGAATATACTTCTTGTCATGATCGTGGGAGTATAAACATAATTTAATAAAAATCTAGAATAGACACTAGAATTCACTATAGAGCATGAATCCGAATTGAAATAATGTTACATGAGAATGGCTTTTATGAGATGAAAGTTTGAGAAATGCTGTTTTCTAGTCGAGAGAAATAAAAAATGTTAGCTTATATTTTATTAAATAGTTTTGAAGTTTGGATATGGTTTCGAGCTTTATTTTTACCAAAAGTCTTTGTGCAAAGAGTATAAATTATTGTATGTTTTTGTTTTGAGGGAAGGGGTGGGATGGGTCTTCCTATATAGCCCAGGCTGATCTCCAACTTGGATTCTCTTTCTTCCACTTTCTGAGTAAGCTGGAACTGCAGGTGTGTACTACTGTCACCTGCTCATAAGAAAGATTTTTATTTTACCGGAAAATAACTTAAGACTATATATTTACCAAATGATGACCAGTTTTGTTTATCTTTTGGTGAGTGCAGTCACTGCGACTGGACTGTCTTTTGAATTGCATAATTAGAGCTTGAAGAACTTCAAAAATAAAATCACCTAAGCCTGTAAAATGCAACGGGAGCTCAGGACCTGTGCATTTGTTGCATCATATAAGCCATGGTGCCGCACATAAAATTGTCTAAACTCAGCAGGGAACGCACGCCAATAAACACTCTCTTACTTTTATTTGCTCAGCTCTGCTATTTTAGAATGAATGTAGTGAAATGCAGTTTTAATTGGAAAAAAGAAACTATTTACAATTGGGTTTTCTTTTATTTTGCAGTTTGCAGACCGTAGGTTGCATGCCTCCCCCTGTGTCTTCTGCAGTGATTTTAACCAAGGCAGTTGGTGGAAATGAGGTGAGTCATGGTGCTAAAACTGATTTAAATGTAAGTTCACGCTGTGCGGTTATTTTGCTCAAAACTGTTGTGAACACAAAGGAGTCACATTGTGGAAAGCTCATAGCCCTAGTGACTTATGAAAGAACTGGTTGTGATCATGTATTAGGATGATGCGCAAATTGATGCTGATGAATGGAATTTAGGGCTCCAAAGAGAAAAGCAAGGGGTGAGTGAAGAAGAGATGGTGATACTCTTACCTCAGTGGGAAGGGAAGACCAAAGTTAGAGATTCATAGGACTGAGAGCCCCCACTGTACCCATTTCTCTTAGTTTGTGGTAAGCTAAATTGGTAGGAAAAAGGTTCAGTATGTTAATGGCAGTGAAGATGACATAAAAACGAGAAATTAGGCCAGGTTTCTAAGGTGAGTCCAAAGAGATTATCTAGCTGTTATGGGATTGTGGCAAAACAATTGTGTTTATGTATTGGGTAACAATTTCAGGAGTTACTTATACTTGGTTCTCCCTTGGTTGAAAGACCCTATCACTTCATACTGAGGCACTTTCCTTTGTGATATAGGTCATCCCTCCTTTTATACCCATGTTTTCTCATTTAGGAAAAAAAAAAATGCTCTGAGGTGAGATATAATGGGTTCCACTTCAGACCATTCATAGGATTCTGCTTTCTTAGCAGCTATTTTAATTTCCATCCACTTTGTTCTTTCCAAAAATAAGTAGGGTATCTTCTGTACAGTTTTTTAACAATAGGTTTGTTAGAATATTGTTTACATGTGATTAACTGTACAAATTTAAACAAACACATGTACACCTGTGAAATCATCACTGTAATCAAGATAATGAGCATATCTGTCAATTCTTGTCTCTCCATTTTGTGCTGCTTTAACAGAATACCTGAAACTAGATCATTTATAAAGAACAGATCTACTTCTTATAGTTCAGGAGGTAGAAAAGTCCAGGGTTGAAGGTCCTGCATCTGTGAGGTCCTCTTGCTGCATCCTCCCATAGTGAAGGTGAAAAGGCAAGAGAGAATAATATATGAGAGAACAAGACAGCAAAACTTACAACCTCAAGCCCTTGAGGGTAGAGCCCTCTTGTCCTTAAACACCTCCTATTGCGCCCCACCTCCCAACACTACAAGCAAGTTTCCAGCACATGATTCTTGGGGAAACATTTACCTTTTATTTATTTATTTATTTTTGAGATGAGGGCCTTACTGTGCTGCCCAGGCTGGGCCTGAACTCCTACCTTAACCTCCCAAGTAGTTGGGACTATAGACATGTGTTACCACACCTCGTGTGGGGGACATAGTCAAACCATAGCACCCTCCAAAGTTTCCTGGGGCTCTTTAATATCCCCTCCTCCTGCCCTTCTCTGCACTCCTCTTCCCAAGACAACCACTGATCTATTTTCCATTTCTATAGGTTACTTTCCATTTCCTAGAGTTTTACATAATAGACACGTACAATGTGTACTTTTTTTGTTTTAAGTTTTTCTTTTCTGGCTTCTTTTACTCAGCATAATTATTTAGAGATTCATCTTTATTGCGTTTATCAATAGTTGAGAACTTTGTATTGCTGAGTAGTAGTTTTTGTGTAGATAAGAATTGTGGACATTTGGGAAGTTTGTAGTTTTTGGGTATGGAACATTCATATACAAATCTTTATACATTTCTAAACTCATTTCCTGGTGTTTATACTATTTAACATTCCAGCCACTCATGAATGAGAGTTCTAGTGCTCCACAATCTAGTCAGCACTTAGTATTGTCAGCTTTTTCACTTTTGTTAACTTTTGTAACGTGTGTGTAGTATTTTCACAGTGTGGATTTTATTGAATTTGCATTTCCCAGTGACTAATAATATTGAACATCTTTTAATGTGCTTAATTCTTTTCCTTCTGTATGTCTTCTTTGGCAAAATATCTACTAAATCTTTTGCTCATTTAAAAAAAATGTTGGGTGGTTTAGTTTACTTACTAATGAGCATTGGAAATATTTTATGTTCCTGTATAAAATCCTTTGTCAGACTGTAAACATTCTCTCCTAGTCTGTGGTTTGCCTTTTTATCTTACCAGTGTCTTTTGAAGTGCAGGATGATTGTGAAGGCAGTAAAAGGTGCTTGGTTTCTGGATATATTTTGAAAGCATAAGATATTCTGATGAATGAATGCATAGATAAATATCAGTGCCCAGTGATACATGTAACTTCTGTCCACATTGAATTGGCCAGAGTAAGTCCTGTGTCCTTACCAAGTATTGTCATTCATGCACCTTGGAGAGGCAAGCTAGATATTGGTGAAGGCTTGTAATGTCAGCCATATTGGATAAGAATAAGAGTTTATTTGTTCATATATTTTTTGATGTGCTATGATGCCTATATCCAAGTATAAATGCCAACTAAGAATTAAAGATATTAGAGTTGGCAGTTCAGAAAGTTGTTTAAGGTAGATCTAAAAATTAGGGAATTGCTAGTGAATAAATGGTATTTACAGTCAAAACTGGACAATATTACTTAGGAAGAGAGAGTTCAAAGACTGACCCCTGGGTCCTTTAACATTAAGAAGTCAAGGTATAATCAGCAAAGACAACAGAGAAAGCACAATGAGGTGGGATAGAAGGAAAAAATAGGAGAGCATGGTGTCAGGGAAGCCAGGTACCCTGGAAACCATGTGAAGAAAGTGTTTGAAGAAGGGTTTGATCAACTGTGTAAAAATTCTGCCAGTGTGGTATGTGTGTGTAAGGTGAATCATGAGAACTAACCATTGTACTGTGCTACAAGGTTATTGGTAAACTTCACCAGAGAGGTTTTTCTGAAACATTGGGGCAAAAGCTTGTTTGAAGTAGGCTCAGGAAAAAGTGGAAAGAAAAAACTAGAACCTATTTTAAAGTCATTTGTCATAAAAGGGAAGAGAGAATGGGGCTGTATTTAAAGGGAGCATGGGGGTCCAGACTTTTTAAAGTGCAGAAATGACAACATGTTTCTATAATTATTAGAATGATATGCTAAAGAGGGAAGTCTTACAGTAATTTATTAGAGAAAATGATATCAGATTATACGAGTTTCAGTAGAAGCTTAAACCATTTATTCATAATAACAATAGGAGGGAATGCAGAGTGTGTAGATACAGATGCATGAAGTTTGGTAGGGGGGTGCATTTGGGAGCTCACTTCTGATGACTTTTCTGAGTGGAGTAGGAAGCAAGTTCAAGTGAGAACAATAATGGAAGTAGGTGGAATTAATGTTTGGGAAGAGAGGAGAAAGGGAGTGTGTAATTGCCATCTAAATGAGGAAAGGGAATTAACTTGAGAGTGTGGTAAGATTTCCCCGCAGAACTGAGGATCCCACGGAGGTCCGTAGATGTGTATTGAAAGTGAAGTCAGGCTTTATGGTTGTGACTTTTCTATTAGCCACACTTAGCTTCTGTGGTAGGGCATAATTGAAGATGGTTAGATTTAACCAGGGTTTCATTAGGCCAGGTATTTTCACTTGCCACATCATTAGTGAGGTAGAGGAACTCTGAGTTTCAATCTAGTGCCTACTATAGTTTTCTTTCAATTACCTTGAAAGAATTTGAAGAGTTTTTGTTTATGTAGGACCAGTGTTAATTGGTCTAAAGGTGTTGTTTATGTCATTCTTTCAAATATGATTCCCTTACAAGGTGCACGAGGAGACATTGATTTAAAAGACTAAAATGTCTTCTTATTCAAAAACAGCTTTTGGCTTGACATTAATATATAATATTGGATCCTTTTGAAGTGTATTTACATGTTTACTCCCCAATTAATATTTAAATTATTTACATTATGTTGCATGTTAATAATGTGGAATTTAGGAACATCTCCTTCGTTTTATAAAATATCAGTCTACTTCTTTAGGTACTTAACATTGTGCAACTTCATGATGATCAAGTATTTTATACAGTTGGAAAGAATAATATAATTTTTCATAAATCTTGATAAAAGAACTTTAGAATTGAAATTTTCAGGGTCCAGTTTGCTCACATTTTCTGGTGTGAAATGAGTAGACAATTTCATATTTACATCAGATGATGAGAGAAAATGATCTGTAAATAACAATAGTAGATAATTTTATGTTTGATATTTTTCTAAAATCATTGTTTTCAGATGAATAAATATAGACTTTTGTTGAAGTAAATGTAAGAGAAGATTAATCTTCTGTATAAATACATTGGAAACATCAAATCTAAGATGGGAAGAGAATTTGTTGATGCATATAATTGAAAAAGTCCAAAAACTGTATCCAGTGTCAGGTGTCTTTTGATGAAATATCTGTTTCTACTTCTCTGTGATGCTCTGCCCTACCTTGCATATGTCCTCACATTGCACCCAGACTAAGATCCTACTGCTTGCCACTCAAAAACCAGCATTTGGGAGAAGAGACTTGGTAGAAGGAATCAGGTTTATCCCAGGGCCATCATCTTTTGAGAATATGGAGGGGCTACTGACCTCAAAGTTCCATCTTGGAGAACTGAGGGGTGCAAAAGGCTGTTATAGGGAAAGACAGGAGTAAAGTGAGACAACAGGCAGGAAGGCATGTTGAGTGAGGTCTTTGGCATCCAGAGTGTGTGTCTTTTTTTTTTTCTCTCCTGTGGCCAGAACACTGACTCAACCTTGACAGATGACTTTCCTGCAAGTTACACCTTACAGCTTCCTATAAACTGATGCATAGTTGTTGTATAGAACTGTAGAGTAAGGAGGGTGTTACAAAGGTCACCAGAGTTCTGTAAAGAAAGATTATTTAGCAGTTGACATCTTAATCCTTTAGGTGGGACTTCTCTTTGGAATTTAGAATGTCAGACAGAGAGGAGGTGACTTGATACTTGCAAAAGAATTGGGGAGGGGAAATAAGCTTATGGAAGGGCAAAAGTGTTTTTGCTAAGGATGCCTCTCACAGGAGCAGCCTCAACACAACATAAGTTCAGCATGACAGCAGTACTGCTGCAGCACTTTTCCTGTGGCACTGTCCTTTCCAACTGACTGCTTTTCTTTAACATTTAAAAATTTTATTTATTTATTTATATTTTGGAGGGAGTGGGGTTTGACTCAGGGCTGCTTTGCATTTGCAAAGCAGGCGTGCTACCACTTGAGCCACACCTCCAGTCCGTTTGGATTGGCCTCCAACCTCTGTCCTCCCAATCTCAGCCTCCCAAGTAGCTAGGATTACAGTGTGAGCCACCAGTGCCCA